GGTTCATGGGGTCACAAAGAGTCGGACACGACTTAACGACTAAACAACAACAATTAATATTTATTCTTTTACTGTAAATTGCCCAGAATCACTTCTAGGGAGATGGGCGATGATAAATGTGGAATGAATGAATGAATGAATGAATGAATGAATGAATGAATGAATGAAAGAGGAAGCAAGCAAGCAAGCCTAACAGCCTATTTGGGTATTGAATTACACCTTGTGGAATTTCTCAGAGTTCTTTTCATTTTCTAATGCTGTCATGAGACATTTTGAATTCAACTCCTTCCACAGATATTTGTTTGTTTATTTATTAAATTTATATGGCCGCTCATCTTACTACCATGACTTACAAGGTTACAGATCCCGAAAACAGTACAAAAACAACTCAAAAACCCACAGAAATTATTAAAACATTAAAGAGTAAAACTATTTCAAACCATTAAAACACAATGTGCAGGAGAGTACCATTCATTTTCCTAGACATACAGCCATTTAGTGGGCTTTCCACCAATGTTCCTGGATTTCTAAAATAAGTGGATTAAAAAAAAAAAACAGGTTCCTGTCTAAATCCAGTTTTTTCCTTGGGCGGGAAGATTCTTTTCAGATTTCTAGTAAAGGTAGTTGCTAGTGGAGGCTGTTGTTTTGATCTGAGCATGCTCTCTTTGGCCAATTCTATTCATGGTGCTTAATGTTTGAGTAACCATCTTCTCTGAGAGGAGAGAAAAAAAAGCTGCAAAAGTTAGTGGGCCCCTTTTTCTTTCAAAACACTCCCTCAATGTTTCATTAAGTGTATAGCTCTGCGTTCCAAAAGGAGGGGAGGAACTGGCTGGCGATGGATAATCTGTGTGTAATCTTTCTGCTTGTATAATTAGTTACTATTTTAGCCTACTCTTTTCCCAAGGAGATCTGGGGTATGATAGGTTTGAACCTGGATTTTAGTCTACCAGTTCACTACATGTCCTTGCCATTGGAGTTTTGCTAATAGATAGGGGCAGGAATGTAGAGAATGTAAAGAGGCAATGCTACACAGAAAGGGAGTATGAGAAACAAAAAGTCAGTTTACCATTAATGCAAGGAAGATGTGAGAAGAGATGATGTCAGATATGAATCTAGGGAGGATGTAAGTTCTAAGGCTCATAATTAGAGACCTTCAGCTGTTTGTAATGGCTACTATTCATGAGCTACAATGAAGGTTTAGTCCACACTCTGTTGTATTGAGTATAGTCAAGTCCTATCTGCCAAGGGGAAGCCTAACTCTTGTTCCTTGTTAGAGTGAGTCATGTTCAGCAATGGATATGTAACATTTTGCCAAATTTCAGTACCTGAAAAAGGAAGTGGGAAGGAGTCTGGTAGAGTCCTGTGGTTATTCATGTCACAACACTTTCTTTTTACTATTTAAGGATTGTGGATTCTCCTGTTGTTACAATAACAACAGTTGGTTAAATAGTAGACAACTACATCAGGGTTTCTCAGTCTCAACAACTTTATGATGTGTGGACTTCAACTACCAGAATTCCCCAGCCAGCCACACATCTTAAAGTTGAAATCCACACATCTTAAAGTTGGTGAGGTTGAGAAACATTGAACTATGTCAAGGATTGGTTGTCTGAAAACTAGTATTTGTGGTTAAAGAAAGAACCCGAAATACTAGTTTTCAGATGACCAATCCTTAATGTAGTTTCAGCTGTGCTAAGCCATCAGTTGGTTCGTTAGGGCTCAACTTAATGCGTTCTGTGATTCTAGCCATTCTGGTATGTAAATTTAGCCCAAGGATGAAATGTTCATAAATAGTAGAAAAATCTTATTTCCTGCAGTATGTTTGACATAGGTGTACTCATGGGTTCTTACAGTACAGTTTAATCTGAAGTTTTTACTTGAATGAGAGCACATTGTTGATGGCTTTTCTCCTTCAAGTGAATCTACAGTAGTGGGTTTTATAATTTGACAATAGCAAACAGGCTGTGGTGAATCTCTAAGTTCTGTCATGTTAATTTTATAACTTAAATGTAAGACTGTTTTGGGGGGGATACTAATGGTAAAATACAGGGCTGGATTTGTTCATTGTTTGCTGTGAAAGGCTTTTTATTT